ATAAATTATCATGCAGTATTACTGTAACCAATTGATAAGGAGATTTAAAGTATACTAGCCACTAACTCTAAGATTTTAGTTCCTCATCATGGATAAGAGTAAAAAGTCATGAAAAATAGCAATCTAATTAGAAGATTCAAATATGAGACATTACCATGGTTGGTGTTCCAAAATTATATGCATATTTAATTTAGATATTGTATAAAGGTATATAATATTAAGACTTGACAAAACTTATGAAATGCCATTTAATAGCTCATCAGTCTTATATTAAAGTGACTATTCAATCATCTTATGTTTTAGAGACCTCTATTCTTTTGCAAAGCTCCAGAAACTCTTGGGCCAAATTTGAATTCTCTAGATTTGTAGTTTACATACAATGCATTTACAGCAGAATGTAAGGTCTGCCAATTTAGCAACCTGCATATTAAAATATCTGCCTTTGCTATAAGGATAATAATAATTTATAAGCACCACCTGCATATCACATGCATACCTTCTCACATCTCTCAACTTGGCCCACACTATCAATCATATATATACACATATATATAGATATATATACACACACATATGTATATATACATGCACATATATATACATATACATATATGTATGCACACACATTCATATATGTATGCAGAGAAACAAAAGCAAGAATTATCAGATTAGTTATCTCTCTTATACTACTCATTACAGTAATCTGCTAGAGGAATTATTCCGTTCCTTTATCAGCTGGCTGAGATTAGAAAACGTAAATAAGGATTTATTGAATTTCTTGATGTGTGTGTTATGATTTTCATATAGAACTAGAGGTAAGGACTGTGTCTTACCTGATATTCCTCTCAGTTTCTGGGACTATGAGGTGGTAGGCGTACACTGGTGGAACATGAATTGGCCATAAGTATAGGCTCTTCCACATACTCCATTGATTCATATCCCAACCTCACTAATTAGCAGCAGAGAGACCAAGTACTTAAATGCTCTGAACTTCAGTTTCTTCATCAGTAAAATGTGTAGGATACCAACCATATTTGGTGGCTGCAAGGTACCTTGTATAGAGAAATCGCCCCAGATGGTAATGAGTTCTTGCCCATTAATTGATAAACTTGTTGCAGAAAAGGTCTGGACTTACTGCCAACCATTACTTTTACAGACTTGCCTGTTTTACAGCTATATAGACAGGTGTTTGAGAATATAAGAAATTAAAATAAAAAAGGAAAGCTTTTTAGTCCATTTTGCTAATTAATATGTCAGAGCTCATAAAGAAGAACTCATTGGCTTTCTTCAGTACTGCATCATCTTAAAGAGCTGGGTCAGCAAAGATCTCTGCAGACAGTCAATACATATTAAAACAGTTCCAAGCAGTAAATCAAAACAAAAAAAAGAAGACACGGTTTAAAAAAAAAAAAAAAAGCAAAATTTGTAAGTCCTTTCTATCTGAATGCAGAGTAGCACTGAACTACTGGTTTAAGTATTAGTTCACGACATAGAAAAAAGTAAGAAAAAATTCGTCTCAGACATACTTTGTGACTCTGAGTATAGTCAAAATTAAAGAATAATTTTAAAAAAAAAAGCAATGCCAAATTTGATGTCATTTTCTCTGGATTCTAGTTCTTTCAGAATATTTAAGTCATTTTAAACAATAGCTTTATTGTTTAAAATATAACTGCTTGCTGTTTTCTTTCCTGCAATGCTAGGATTTGAATATTTTTCAGAATTCAATTAGTGGGAGAGTGAGGGAATGAGGTCAAAAACATGTTTAGGTTTTTTAAAACTCTCTGACACTTGTGATTTTTTCTTAAAGGCACCAAACAGAATGCATTTTATTTCTAACTTCTCTGGATGGGTCTCATCATTCCACAGATATAGACACCATTCATACAAGGAGGAGGACCCTGAAAGATTATCAACAGGAAAATCACCCTGCTATCTTCCCTGGCAAGGGAATGAGATGCAACGCACTGTCAGGGGAAGCCCCTGAAGTAGGTCATTAGAGGAATCTCAAGAATACTAGATTGATTCCAGAAGGAGGGAGGGGAAGTCTACATTCTGTGCCAAAAAATATTAGAAAGATTTATCTTCCCTGGGCTTTTGATTTGATCCAAGCTCCGAGGAATCAACCATTTCAAGACCGAGCCAAGGAAAAGGTGCCAAGAACACTGTCACAAATTTGGAAGGTACCCAAGCCAGACCAACACATGGCAGTTGGCACAGAATGGCTCTCTACACACTAAATCGCTGACTCAGAAGAAAGTTTAACTCAGATGAATTTATTAAAACGTTTAATATCATCCCAAATAAGAGGATGGATGATATATTTAGGTCAGCACATACAATTCAATTTGTTTAACTTCCTGATGGCCTGGGAGAGAATGAAAGCTGCCCACATTTCCATAATTAAAAAGAAACAGAAGTAGAAACTCCTTTTTCTTCTTAGCAAAAGAGATGTCACATCTTTACTTAAATAATCTGGGGTAAGGGTTTGGGGAAAGTGAAAGGATACTGCAACAGATAAGCGGCCCTTTTAACACTGGTACAGCAAGTATGATCACAGAACATTACAAGTTACAATTCAAACCAGTAACTTGCTTAGTGGCCATAGACTGCTTGTGGTAGATTTGTACTATAGTTATATATTGGACAAATTTAAAAAGCGATTTTGTAACTGGAAGATGCCACCAGAATCTAAAGAACCCTTGACCCTCTGCTACCACTACCACCACCGCCAAAGCCCAATGAGAAATCTCTCTACATAAGCTCAGCACTTAGAAGGAAGTTACATTTTATGTGAGGGATGAGTTCCTGAGAACCATTACAACTCAAGACTAATTTTCCAAAAGAAATAAATGTAAAAAAACGGAGGGGAGGGTATATTACTGAAGTGTATAAATTCATAATCATTGTAGCATATCTGTCTTTAATGTTGCTTTGTATTTTGTCAAGAATTGTCTTTAATGTTTTACAGGATGCCCTTATCTGAATTAACTATAACGTGTATAATTTGAGGTGATCGTGTCTTATCGCGTGCCACTTTTACTCCAGTTACCAAGTTTCTAGTTGTTTCTTAGCATCTGCATTGTGGCTGCAACAACAATTGTGAGGATGGCGCAGGGCTGGGCATAGGGTCTCTATGGGTCGGAAGCAACTCAACGGGACCTAACACATACAAGCAGTGTCCCACAAATGCCCAGTGAAAAACTCTATGGTACTTTGATAGAATATGAAAACATTTAAAAATATAAGGGAGAGAGTGTTGAAATAAAATCTTTAAAACATCTAATGTCTTTAAAAGGGGTAGTTCACATGATACAAAGACTGGTGGTACTATTTCTATCTACCAGGTAAAGTAGAGCCTCCATGTGAAGTTTACAATTAACCTGCCTGCCAGCTCTAAAATAATGCAATTTTTGATATATTATTTCTAAATTGGAAGATTATTTTAAGTTTTGTACTTAGAGTAATTCTTTATTAATATTTTTATATCACACTATAAAAACAGATCATTCAAGTTAACCTAAAATATTATAGCAATATATTAAAATGATAATGCTTTCATTTAAAAAGAATAAAAATAATTTCCAGTTATTGGTTAACAAATAATTTGCTTAGAAGTTGACTAAGACAAGAATAAGATTTTCTCTCCTGGGAAAGGCCAGAATGTTTTATTATTTGCTCATTTTCTAAAGCCAAATTGATAAACATTTTAAAAAACTCCTTCAACTCTTTGCCTTGAAGCCTGCCCCAGTACATAAAAGGGCATTAATCTTTGGATTATTAATATGTGTAGGAGAACTACAAGCAGTGGCACGTGTTTAAGATGAAAACAATATAGGCTATCCTTCGGTTTCCTTGGACATGAGAACTTCCTTCAGGCTTCTAAAAATATTTCCAGTTGTAGAGAGTTTAATGGAAGAGGATGATGAGAACAAGCAGCATGTGGCAACTTATCACTTCCACAGATATCTTTTATTTCCCAGTGATCTAACCTCTTGGGCTCTTTATTAGGAGGAACAGGGAAAAAAAAAATCTCAGAGTTGTGAATCATCCCTTCCCTGCTGTTATCACTAGAGAATCTGGAGAAAGAAGAAAAGAAAAAATATCATAATCTTGCCCTGGAACATGATGGAGGTAATGAGGCATCAAGGCCACTTACCGCTGAAAACGTAATTGGCACATAAACACAGGAGATGCTTGGTGATGGGAAAGACATCTTTGTCTCAAAAACAGAAGGATGCCAACAAATCACAACACTTCTGCTGTTTAGAATGGCGATTCTAAGAGTAAAATGGATATCTCCCTCCCACCCCCAGCAAAATTATGAACTCCTAGAGGAAAAGGATTACTGCAGTATTTAATAGCTTAACTATTTTGTTTTCAACTAATGTGAAAAAATGATGAAGGAAGGGCAAAGGGATAGAAGGCAGGCTACTTGGTAATGAAGGAAAAGCTTGGATCTTCGGATTGAAGATACCTTAAATGTGTCAGAGAAAGACCCAGTAAACCTGTAGTGATCCTTATGGACTTCTAGAAACTCTGGGAGCTCATTCATGAAGCTAAAGAAATGTAATCCAGTCAGTTCTGCATAACCTCCTATGATGACAGGCAAAAGACTATTCTTTTTTGAGGAGAAATGAACATATCTTATTCTGGAAATCCTGACTCTGCTTGTTTTAATGTGCACATCATCCTGTGCTTTCTTTACAATTTTTCTTGTCCTAAGTGTTCAGCTGGCATACAGGTTTAACAATTTTGGTTTTTAAATTATTTTTTTGGAAACCATTATTCTATCCTCTCAAACATTTTGAGTCAGCGTACATTATGCCACTACACACCTAGCGAAGCAATAATTCATCTTTGTGGAAGTCAGAGACATCTCATATATTAATTAGCAAGCCTTTCCGTGACTAGTGGATGGAAATGGGTTCCAACTGCTACTCAAACACAGCCAGTGATTTCCAGGAAGGAGGATATAAAGTAAGTTACAAGATATTTCTTACCCGATTTGTGTCCAGCCAATGAATGGACATTGCTTTCATCTGGCACTGAGGAGAAGAAATAAAAGAGACAAGGATCAGACCTGCTTGTAAATTAGCCATTTTTTTTTTTGAACAATAAATTAATATAGATGCACAGTAAGTTAAATTCTTTACTGGCAAAAGATTTGAGAAATTTTTCCCCAGCCTACTTGGGATACCTCATTTTTATTATTGCATATTTTAAAGACAGCTAGGAAGAAATACATGTTTATTAGAGGGTCTATAAATAAAATTTCATTTGCTTTTCATTTTCAATTCTTTCAATTCTTGGTCGTTTCCATGTCCCCAAAAGGAGAAACTAAACTCATGGGTCTAAAGATGTATAATATATAATAAAACTCTTGAGCATAACAGCAAAAAATATTTTCAATACTCATGAATGGGCTTCTGTATCTGGTTAAATGGAGAAACAGGGAACAGATTTATACTTCTCCCCGAAACAATTAAAATATTGATGAAATATGTGAAACAGTGGCATTGAAGACATTAGGCAATGAAGGACAGTGACTCCCCAGAGATGGGAAACAAATGAGGTGAACACTACGATTTCCCCATCTTACTCCCTGGAGAGTTTCCAGATTGTGGTGCACACAGGCAGATCCTGGCAGTATCACTAGCTTGAGGACATGGAGCTAGGAGTTCAGGGAAGCCAAGGTCAATAGGGTTTGCAGGGCAGAGTACTGGAGAAGAGAGAACTGTACAGAAAGAACTGTGAGATCTGCAGAGGATTCCCTGATGTATCAGTTGAGTATGAGAAAACTACCCAAGACCTGGAAAAGAACTACTCACAGAGCCTCATGGTCACCCAGGGCCTATTCACAACAACTAGACTGCAAAACTTCATAATGAGTGGGATAGGTTAGAGTACAAAGTAAGGTCTTGGCTCAGTGATTGGGAACAATTAATCCTAGATTCACATAGTTCTGATGAAATGGGTAAATTTTTGAAAGACACAAATGACCAAAGCTTATGCAAAGTAATAGTCTGAACAGCCCTATAGGTATGTTTTAAAAAAAATGAATTTGTAGATAAAAACCTTCCCACAAGGAAAATTTGAAGCCCAGATGGCTTCACTGGTGAATTCTACCAGACATTTAAGGAAGAAGTAATACTAATTCTATAAAAACTCTTCCCCCAAAATTCAGAGGATAGAATATTTCCCAACTCTTTCTATGAGGCTATCATGACCCTGGTACCAATATTAGGCAAGGGCATTATAAAAAAAAAACTTTTCACCAATATTCCTCGTGAAGGTAGATGCAACATTCTTAATCCTTAAGCATCACTGCCTGGATTCTCACTTCAATATTCAACAACAGCTGTTTATTACTCACCACGTGCCATTTTTTATGTTCATCAATACTATTCTGGTTCTCAAGGGAAGCAGAAGCGAGGTGAGGCCTCCTCCATTTTCCCTAATACTAGATTGGCCTCAGAGTAGAGCATCCTTCCTTGTTCTACTTGCAGCATTCAGTCATTTTTAATTGACCCAGTTACTATAAATAGATCTTCCCATTCCCATCTACCCCTCCTTTCCTAAGCTATTTCTTTATTTTCTAAGTAAAAGCACTACGTAGCTGTGATTTTCCTATAACTAAGTCGTTAAAAATCTTGTTAGACTTTTCTTTCTATTTCCAGCTGGGAGGTAAGTTAGTCAGTACTTATTAGGATCCAATTGTGGGCCAAATTCTCTTTCCCAGGTCTCAAAAAACTTACAGTGAAATCTATAGTACACATAGAAAAGTTTGGAAAATGAAGACGATGATAGCAGCTAGTATTGAGGACTTGTAATATTCAGGATCTGTCCTATGCCCTTTATATGTATTAATTCATTTAATCCTCACAGTGACCTGGAATGACAGATTCTCTTATTATCCTGAATTTATAGAGAAAGAAACTGAGGCACATCTTGTAAGCGGAAGGGAGCCAGATCTTCAACCCGGGACTCTTAACCATGCCATTATATTTGTGATAGAGGTTATGGAAGGGTTGCTATCTGAGAAATTTTAAGGATAATCAGTAATATGAGGCAATTATAAGAAAATACTTGACAAACTATTCTAGAAAACTATTATCTTTTTTACTTGAATATGTGCTATTAATAAAATCTGTGGTGACTAAAATCAAGTGTTAGCTGTAATTCTGTTTAGCATGTACAGAAATCTAGAATTCTAATGGATTCAGGCTAAACTATTCATCCTCACTTTACAAATGGGGAACCATCTGTTTGAGTTAAAACCCTGGCTTGGGCACTTACTAGTCATGTGCAAGTTACTTTAACTCTCTGTGCCTCAATCTCCTGATATATAAAATTAGGATAATACTGCTTACCTCATAGGTTTGTGGTGAAGACTACATGTGTAAGTAATGCAAAGTATTTGATGATAATACAGTATTTAATATTAGCTATTATTATAATTATTAATCAAAAATTAGGTAGGAAGGCAGAATAACAAGATGGTTAGCAATGAGACAGATGTAGGCTGAATCCCACCTCTGTCAGGAAATTTATTAAGCTTTTTTAGTCTGTTTTCCCATATTGAAAACTGAGATAAAAATAATACACATGGAATTGTAGCAACTAAGTTTTTAAAATACAGAAAAGCACTTAGTGCTGTGCCAGGCACATAATTCTCAATTTAAAAATCAGACAAAAACTTTTGATAAACGGAAGCTGTGAGAGTGATAAAGGTAGTGAATTTGATGATGCTGGTGTTCTTCATGATTTAACTTGCTTGGGATTCTAAAGGAGTAGAGGGAGAAAGTAATTGAGAGCATATTATGCTTCAGGTAAGGTACCGGGCACTTGCCCATATGTTATCTCATGGACTCACCATCCAGCACCCATGGCCAGCACTGCCACCCAATTTACCTGGCTCCCAGTTCATCTTGTAGTGGAAAAATGGCTCACTTCTGAAGGAAATACAGCACTTAGACTATATGGTCTTAATGTATAGGGCTATTCTGAAAGAGGAATTTGTACAAAGGTAAGGTTTTTGGTTGCTGTTGTTTTGTCTTGGTGTTTGTCTAGTTTATTTATTTAACAGATATATATTCTCCCAGAAAACTAAGCCAATTTAAATAGTGCAAATTCCCCAGCCACATTTATTTTAACACGGTATCTCCTTAACTTTTTGGTTGAATACTGCCTATTATTTGCAGTAGGAATACTTATTATTTTAATCGACAATCTGAAATTCTGTAGAACGCTAACAGAAACTATTTTAAAAAACAGTGTTGAAAATCCAAATGGGTGATAGGCATAAAAATTAGAGGTCTTTCTCCAGAATATTCACTGACACAGATGCCTATCTTTAGGACAGAAGATAAATGAATAAACATAATAGAAAAGAGAGGGAACTGTAATGACTTAATTAATAGAATACATTTTATTTCAAAGGTTAAATTGGGAACAATCATCTTTTATATACATGCTTAGTGCTGAGAAGCAATTTAAATAACAGCAGCAAATGAGAAAATGAGGTAAAATTATACACACCATCAAGTTTTTTTTTTTTTAAATGACAAGTGTTATAATTAATACCCAACATCCTTTATAACTCACTTTACCTTAGAGCTACTGTAAAGTTATCTCTCGGGGCTAGAGCTTAAGTCTGGTTGTTTCACTGCATAATATTTAGATAGCATAGCCATTGGAATGGTAGCACTATGAATAAGACAGGTGCATCGTTTTAAACAAAGGGCTCATTTACAAGAGATTAAAAAATGAGCTGGGCCTGGTATAGGAAAGGTCTTCTGTTCCAAAGTAGTAAAGTCACCAAAAGCGTAAGGGAAGAGAGCGTTGATGGAGCAAGAGCCAGTTTGTTGTTTTGGTTCTGCTGAGAATTATTTTTTAAGTTTCTAGATCGTATTACATTCTCATCTTTCAGCTTTACCCAAGTCTTGATGATAACTTGCTTTTGATTATCCTAATTGAAGAGGTATCAATGAAATGTTTTATGTCCTTCTGAAGATATAATTCACAGATATTTTTACTGCAACTGTTATAATACTTAGGGGGCACGATGGACTTCCCCTCTTGAGAATTTCCTGGATTTATTTAGATTAAAAAAAAAAAAGTTGCCATTGAGTTGATTCCAACTCATGGAGGCCCCATGTGTTTCAGAGTAGAACTGCACTCCATAAGGTTTTCCTGTGGTTTTCAATGGTTGTGATCTTTTGGAAGTAGATCACCAGGACTTTCTTCCAAGGTGCCTCTGGGTGGATTCAAACAGCCAACCTTTCAGTTAGTAGCCAGGCGGTGCTTAAAGTTTTATGTCACTCAAGGACTCTTATTTTGACAACAGAATTTCTATACTAACCCCATGCTTCCTGGTATTCAACACAAGATGATGGACACTATTTGACTTAGTTATAGCAAGATGTTTAATAAAGAGGACACTTTTTGGCTTGGCTGTTTGTTATTTTCTGGTGTGCCCTCTGATTCAGGCAGACTTGAAGAAACACAGCAGCCTAATGGCCTGTATCCTAGTTATCCTGGCTGAAGGCCTTTGAAGCTAGTTACAACCACTTAACACTGACAGCACCTTTTAAAAATTAAGTAGGTAAATGCACAGTATCTTGGTGTCTTTTGGCTTCATTTCAACCAGGTTCACTGTTAGAACTGAGAGGAACCACAAATAAAGAAAATGTGGGGAAAAATCTATGTAAAAGATGGCATTCTGAGGACTTGTTAGTGGCAAACATTAAAGTGCATATAATACATGAATTGGCTTCCCAGTAGGATACATTTATATTAATATACTAATCAAAGTGTTTTATTCTTTTGTCAAGCCTTCTTAAACACTTCAAATGCCTTCTCACTAGGGGAACAACAATCCCCTTGCTTATTGATAGCATTTGATATGCATTTTATAACATACGTGACTATTACGGACTGTATCCGCTTAGTAAAAATTTGCAGAACAGTGGCAGATTTGGTGAGTTAATGGGCCCCATATACTCCTTGTATGTTGACAGAAGATGGTATACTGCTAACATGCACA